TTTTTGTTTTCTTAGTGACTCCCACACAGAAACAAACAAACTTCAACTTCTTGTATTGTTGTTTATAGAGCAACTTTATATCGAAGGAGTTATCTGGTCTATTTTGCAGTACAAGAAAAATGTTTGTTCTTTTTTGCAATATCTCCAAAGATTTATTTGGTGGCCAGCTTGAGTTGCCTTTGGTTATGGAAGACATAAATACTCCTTCCGATCCTTAATATAAAACATTTTGATTTTATTTTAAATTTCACTTAATAGATATTTTTAATTAACGAAAAAATCTTAAAACTATATTTTCACGTTTGTTGGATTCTCTTGATTGTTATGAACTATTTTTAAAATTTTTTTGTCATTTAAAAATATACTTACAAAGTTAAATCTAAAACAAAACAAAATGCCTTATATTAAGAACCGGAGGGGAGTATGTCATATGTATAGGGAAACGGAGTATGAAATTAAAATGTGTCGACCCAATCGGATTAAAAGTTACATGGATGGATTAATTTCTATTTTTATATAATATATCATGAACAGTTGGGTTAACGTACGCTAGTAAAGATGTAACACGGTCAACTGTTTAATCTAATAAATTTTAAGTGATTTTTTGTAGTAGTTTTTATTTGTTAGTTGCATACAACATGTGGTGATCATATGTATGACATTACACAAAATTTCTAATAAATTAGATTTGTCTTGTAGAACAAATTACTAATTATAAATATTGACTTGTGATAGTATTTTTTACTTTGTAGAGAATACACATGAATGATGATGAATCAAATCACATAAATATTTCATGCCTTCTTATTTACATCTGGTGGATATATTGCATACCATATATTTTCTTTTCCCTGTCTTTATAGGAGAAAATCACCTCTGGTGTAAGCATAAAGATTTTTGCTTTCAGTTCCGAGTACGAGGGTGGCATAAACTTTCGTGCACTTTCATGAAACATTTTAGTGGTGGGAATAAATAATGAAATTTGTACCTAAAAAGAAAAAAAAAAGTGAGATTGTACTTTTATTTTAATTTTCTATTTGAAAATAGATTTTTTTAAAGTTAAATTTGTTAAAAGTTAGCCAATCCTAAATAAGACATCAACTTTTGGTATTGAAGCCCAATTTTGTTAAATATCAATTACATAAAATTTCAATGAGTAGCAATGATATGTAGTACTCCCTCCGTCCTATAATTATTTCCAGTTTGTGTTTTCATTTCTAGTTCAACTTGAACTAAAAGTGAAATCTCAAACTGGACAATAATTTTGGAACAGAGGGAGTACTATTCTATTTTTTCAAACGAGGAATTCAATATAATGCATTGAAGGATAACGCTAATAACAAGTGTATAATTTCAAATAGAACGAGCAAACAAATACTTACACATTCAATTTTAGCGATAATAGATTTGACAGCTTCCTTAACGAATTTCGACTTCCATGAGACCATGACCAGTATATCTTGTTAGACATCAAAACTCAACGTGAAAATATTTTATTGATTTTATATTTCTTCTTTAAGTTTTTTCCTCCCCATAGTAATCAGGTTCGTGATTATAGTCTGACCAAAGTAGCCATATGTAATAAGTATAACTATATACAGCATGTGATTACTAATTAAATAAGGTATTAAATTAGATTACTACAGCTAAATAATATGTTTGATGTATCAATATTATGGTTATCTTTTTTTATTTTTGACCCAAAAAGAATAAAAAAATGTCACTTGATATCCATCCATGCATTATGATCTTTTATCATAACATGGAATAAAATAAATAACAAAAAAAAAAATTGTTATTCTGAAACATTCCCCCTGAAATGTCATCATGGTTAATTGAAGGACAAGTACGAATATAGTACTATTGACTTGTACGTACTGAAAACATCATCCATGATTGACTTTATACTAAATCTAATCCCAGTACTTAACCAAAATGAATAAAAACTAAGTACTGCTGACAAATAATTAAAATAAAGCAATTGGTTTAGCTCCCGTTTCAGATCAAACAATTTGTTCAAAGTCAATGGCGTCAACACTACACTACTTATAATTAAAGTTTCCAAGTTCCACACTCCTTCTCTTCTCCAAATAAAATTGACGAAAATTAATATTCTCTCCAATCTTTAATATAAGGCATTTTGATTTGTCCTAGTTTCACCTAATACTTATTTTTAAAAATCAAGAGAACACTATAAATGTGAAAATATATTCTTAATTAAAATTTTTTCGTCAATTAAAAATATTTACTAAATGAAATCTAGGATAAATTAAAATGGCTTGACCGGAGGGAGTAGTTATTTAGTGTCAAAACAATGGGCACACATTAGGGGGTCCCTATTTTGATCGACATACAAAAAAAAATAGTAATAATAAAAAACTAGTAAGGTCATACCCAATAGATTATGTACTTAAAAAAAAAAAATTAGTAAGGTCATCATACCCAATAGAAGATGTCCTTCTTTTTCTTTTTTTTTTTCCCATTTTTAACTTTGACCCGAAAAAGAAAAAACTCCAGGCATTATCATTAACTGTTTAAAGAAAAATACCTGATCATTAATCCAATTTGGATAAAGTATTGTCTTCATAATTATTATTAGGCCGTGCCAGTTGATTAATTAAGCGGAATCCTATCGGAAAAGTCCCATTTCTTGCTTACAGAACCTCTATAAACCGGTAAAAGATATTTTATGAAACTTTTTTTTTTTTATTAAACTTAAGTACGGTGAACTGATAATGGTCAATGGTGAAACAATATTTTCTTGAATATTTATCTCCTTCTAGAAACTGGAAAAAAAGGAGAGACAGGAAAAAGTTGGATAAGGAGTTGTTGATGACCATTGGCAGCATATGCAATTGTTAAGATTGGCTAACGCTTTAAGTGTGGGGGTTGTCGTGCTTTCTAAGGCACATGTCATATTAGCTTCATTTTACTACATGTTCATCATTTCAAAGAAAAAAATCACATTAAATGTAGAAATTTATATTATTTTTAATATAAATATCAAAATTTAATGTAACTCTTTCCTTAAAAAAAAAAGAGACAGAGGAAGTATCACATATGATACAGACAGTGAAATTCTTGAGATTACATTTTCTCTATTATTCAAATCTATCATTACAAGACATCAAACAAAGTGTCTCCAGTTCTAACTATACATATCAGCAGTAAGCCAGTAACTAAGAGAAGAGCTAGTTGGCAAGGAGGGTTGTTTACTGTACTACTCTCTCTATTTTGAAATAAATGTCGTTTGGAAGATTTCACGAGTTTTGAAAAGACAATAATCATCTTATTAAAAATACTCAACTACTAATATAATTGTAGCTCAAACAATGTTATTTTCTAATACAAAATTCTATATTAGATATAGCTACAATTTCTAATGTAAAGATAATATAAAATTTTTTTGACAAAATATAACTCGATTTGTGAGAATGGCATCTTCTATTATTAAAAATTTACTTTTTCATTTAGTGATATTTATTTCAGAATGAAAGGAGTAGTAACTATTCACCAACACGGGCGGTTTTAAATTTTTCTTTTCTCTCTTTCTTTTGTAAGTACTCCATTTCTAGTTAACCCTTCTTTTTTCAAGTAGAAGTACTATGATGGTCCAATGAATGATGATTAACATGAATTAAAAGAGCTGATTTTGAGAAGATAACCGAATTCCGGTTTCAGGGTATGTTTGATGGTCAAATATATTCTTTTAATTCTAAAATAATTGTTCCATTCAAATTAATTTTAATGTGGGTTTATAATTATGAATATTTGTCAGTTTTCTTTGCCTGACTCGGACATACTAACGTCACATCGAAGAAGTTATCTAATGTAGTTTAGCCGTATTAGAGAAGTGGAATTCTTTTTTTTTTTTTTTGTTTGCTTCTCCATTATCTTTTCATAGATTAACCAGTGGCCACCATGATTTTTGTTTGAATTCCATTTTGGCTATGGAATAGTACAAAAGACAGGAAAGATATGTGTCAACCAAGCTGAGGTCAAGGGGAACAATCAAGTTGAGGTTTAAATTAACCAAAGAGTTCTTCTTCTTTTATTTTTCTTTTTCCTGCCGTGTTTCTCAAGTTCTGCTGTTGGGCGTCAACTCATTGCTGAAGACACAATGTCATTGGTAAGTACATTCTTGGAATATACTCGAAACAACTCCGTTAAATTAAAATGAAGAAATTACAAAATAAGTATCGTTTTATATCATCCGGTGTCAATCCCTACTTTCAATGTGTATAAATAATGACAAAATTTTTCAAAATCACCCTCAAGAGAAAATGCACATTAGTCGAATTGTAAATCTCATTTTCTCACTGATGTCTATCTTTCCGTATTTTCGAACTCTTAATACATGCGTTTGCAAATATGTACACACCAGAATTTATTCTAACTATGCAATTATTCAGAAAACTCTCAGTCATTATAAACAAAGCCTAAGAGTTTTGTTGTTTTCCAAGATAATTATTATGTCACATAAAACGAAATAAAAAATATACTCCCTCTGTCCATAATTATTGTCTAGTTTGAGTTTTTATTTTTAGTTCAAATTGTACTAAAAGTGAAATCTAAAACTGGACAATAATTTTGGGACAGAGGAAGTACTATAGTTTACTTTTATCAATCGACCTACAAAAGACAAGATAGCAAATGAGCCGTATGACTTGAGGCCCCAAAACAACATATTATAACAATCTTGAGGGGAGTCGAAATATCACAAAGTTGCAAAAATGTGATATTCCCTATGGCTCTTACAAACAAAACTTCTGTATACTCGAAAAGATATGTGTGAACATTTGTAAGGAGCAGCAGGTGCAATGCTGAATAAATTTAGGGTAAATTAGCTTAGTAAGCAAATTAAACCAAAAGCTACTGTCCATAATAAACAATATACACGGATTAAGTCTATTGCTAGCTGGCAATACCAGTCGGAGTTATCAATTTGCCAGTAGCAGAATCTTGTGTTATAACTGTCTGAAGTAGATCCCGGTCTTCGTTCACTGATTCCCAGCTTTTTGTTTTTTCCTTTGCTTTCTTCGTTGTTCGTGCAAACCTGAATGAAGGGACAGAAAAGAATCAATAAGATTATGCCTCTGACAAGCTGAAGAGTAAAAACGATGTATGTACCACAGAAGAAAAATGATCAGTAAGGCAATACGTTTTTTCTCTTCCTTCCTTTTTCGCCTCAAGTTCTCCATTCTCTTTCTTGTTTCTGTTATTTTCTTCAAATTCTGGACTGCCTGAAATGAGAGAGCAAATTCAGTGTTAGATGGAACATACAGTTGCTTCTGAGTAATGTTAAAAAAGCACAACAAAGGAATTAGCACGATTTCCTCTTCACATCTTATCCCTGATGTGCAACTTGACAATAAGAAGAGCATAAGTTGTCAGTGGAAGGTCTTGCCACCCTTGAAAATCAACTTAACATGGAAGTAAGTACAAGCTGATCTCCTTTCCATCAGACACGAGACAAAGCATGCACAAAACAAAACACGCAACTCTAGCAATCAAAACAGCTTGCAGTAGAAAAACATAGTATTAGGTTTTTCACAAAACCAAACTCTTCCCCAACTGACTAAATCAACATAAATTCAAACTTTTATCCATTTTCTGCTCTGTCTTGCAGCCGCTAGAGCTGAGGAATCGTTTTATTTGTTTGTCAACATTTTAGAAAGTGATAGTACTACGCGTTACAATCATAAAATTTATAGACCAACAACAACAAAGCCCCAACATTCACCAGCAGCAGTTTAAAATAGCTGTTGAACAAAAATCCTAAGGCCAGACTTCACATGCATTTTAAAACTTGTTAAACCTGTAGGAGGCATCAATGCACCTAGTTGATATAAGAACTCCCTTCGTTCCGAAATGATTGTCCAGTTTGGGCTTTCACGTTTAGCTCAAGTTGTAGTAAAAACTAAAAGCCAAGGACAATCATTTTGGAACAGGGGGAGCACATATTTTGTGGCCGGAAAAAAAAAAAATTCACTTCAAAACATCGTGTACCAGAAGATCAGGAGAAACAGGGCCAGGTTTGGTCTGAATACATCAGGCAACTATTTAAAGAAAACAAAAGTTCTCAAAACACTGAAAGGTGGAAGACATTTAAACTCTGCCTTTTACCTCTTGACCAGCACTTCTAAGCGCCTGAAGAGGTTCAACGCAATCCTGACCAATGACCACTAACTTTCTTCTCTTATTGGGCGCCATATTGTTTACACCACCAAGTTTGGGCTTGGTTAATTCTTCAAATTGTTTTTGAAGCAGAGGCGAGACACCAGCCTTCGAAAGATGCAATAGAATAGTTACACGGACTGTATTAAAACAGGCATACTAAAGCGTGATCAAGTAACCAGAGGCTTTTTGAAAAACCAACTTTATTTTACACAACCCAAACCACCCTAGAAAAAGTAACAATTACAAGTTCCAAGCACCATTAGTAGATTGAGTAAATATGCATACATTTAAAATTTATCTCCAACGATCTAGAAAACTATCGGAAATAACAATTCTAATTTTATTTTATCAACAGAAAGCAGTACATCGTAAAAAGATCTAAAGAACATGCAGCAACATTTCCCCATCAGGTCTGTGAATAGCATAACATGTGGGTGCCTGAAAAAATTTATGTTGTATGGAGGCAGAACACCAGACGTACGCTATGTTATGTGCAAACATCATAGACTTACCCCTGCCAGATACCGATTTGAAAATGTTTTGGGTTGCAATGGCCTAGAAAGATGACCATTCAGCTCCTGTAAAGTTGGGAAAAAACAAAATAATCAGACTATTGAAAACTACATTCTTGTCATGTCACAGAATAGGATGAGAACAAAGCAGATTAGCAGCTTTTATAAAGAAAATATATCGACCATAGAAAACTGACCTCTTGCAACTTCTTCAGCTGTGCAGATGACGCTTTCTTTTTCTTGTGTTTGTTCACTCTTTCATCCTCACTGTCATTTTCATCCAAAAGTAATTCAACTGATTCTGCATTCTTTTCAAACCAACTTTGTTTGGCCTTGTCCTAAAGAACAATTTCAAAATGCAGTGTAAGAACTAAAGAAAGCTCCAATCACTTTATACAAGTAGTTCGGAATAAAATGACAGCATTCTGTTGTTGACATGATCCAGATAAATTAACTGGAATAAACATGTAAAGGACAAAAACTGAAGAGAAAAATATAAATGATACAACAAGCATTCAGCAGGAACATACCATTCAACCACCCCCCATACACACACAAAAAATAAATGAATAAATAATGAGCAGGAACAACAATTTGCTACACTACCAAATAATCTCATGTGGATAATAATACAACGGCAGAACTTGAGAGAAAATTATTGGGTTCATGATTGCGAACAAAGGCAAAGCTGTCATTTATTCACAGAAGAGCAAGTTCTAACTTGTCTATTGTTAAAGACACCCTGTCATTTTATTAAATGAATAACTTACAGAATCATAAACTTTCCGAAGTTCAATACCTGGGAGTCTTTCCGCAGAATTTTATCAATTTGACGTGCAAGTGATAATCGCTTCATAACCTCCGGCATATAAGAAGTATCCGTAGGAAATCGTTGAAAGCTCTCCTGAAAGTGACAGTGCAGTGGCAGCATTCATGGTTTTGTCACATATCAAAAAAAAGTTCGTCATTTATTTTAGAATAACAACGCTATGGCTCCTCTCCCCACGAATGGGCAAAATAAAAGGAGGAAACTACTTCTATGTGAAAACACAAAAACTAAGTCCGTTGACCAAACAAGAGAAGCAGGCATACACGATAATATCAGGCAATTCACTTGAGACTTTTCCCCTGCATTCGGGGGATACCAAATCAATACATGACATACTAACAGCATCAAAGATTATAAGAAAGTGAAAAATAATGGAGACAGATACTCTCGACCAACAAGGTTCCAAGACCAGAGAAGCATCAAATTTATCTTATAGTGAAATTTTAAGTAGGCCAGATACTTTATTCACTCAACATCAATACATTGCATACTATGTCTTTTAGCCAGATCTATTCATGCCCACTCTAAAAGTTCAGTTCTTTTGTGAAGTGTCCAAAAGCATGATGTGACAGGTAAAGTGCACCCTCTTTGTTTCTACTTTTTACCCTCTTTGTTTCTACTCTGTCAGTTAAAAATCTTTAAACCAGTTCCTTTACTTTTGGTTGTATCATAAAGAATTAAAACATGAATACCTTTGCAAATGATTTGCACAAACCAGCAAACTTTGATGTTTCATTTGGGGCAATCAGGGCAATGCTGCATCCATCAGAAGAAGCCCTGGCAGTTCTTCCACTCCTATGAACATAGACCTCCAAAAACAAAACTTTTCAGTCCAAAAATTACAGCGTGCCAAGTCACACTTGGGTAGTCAAAGTATACTTACTTCAGCTGAATGTGGAAGCTGGTAGTGAATAACTGTTCGAATTCCGGGAATATCAAGTCCTCTAGCTGCAACATCAGTAGCGACAAGTACACCGTGTTCATTTGCACGAAAACGGTCAATTGCCTGCATTGTAGTGAAGGTCTAAGATCATATTTTACAGAAGGAGAGCACAGAAGGATGACAAACTCACTATAGATGAAAGTTTCAAGCACCCAATAACGAAAGCATAGCATTGTCCGAACACACTGTTACCTCCAATCATTACATTGTTCACGGTTAAAAATAACCAACAAGCAAGCATAGAGATGGTAAATAAGTTTCAAGCACACAATAAGCAAGCATAGCATTGTTTGAACATCTATTACCTCCAATCATAACATTGTTCATGGTTAAAAATGACAGATGAGCAATCGTTTTACCAAAAGTTGCCATCTTGATGCTATATCTATGCACTACGTGAATGAGCTAACATAATTGCTAAATATTGATACTGTGGAATAATAGTATCAGTTGCAAAATCCTTTAAAGGCTGCAAATTTGACTGGACAATGGAAACAACTAAATAACAATCAAGAGAATACAAATGTAACACGTAGGTAATTAAGAAGAAAACTCAAACTTCAGCCACTAAAGGAATAAAAAAGACAAAGGGAGCATAAAAAAGATACAGAACAGAAATTCCACAAAAAGTACCTTGAGGCGTGCGCGTTGCTGCATTTGGGCATGTAAAGTACACACATTTATTTCAAGAATCCGCAGAAGGGAAGACATATGTCGCAAAGCTGCGATTGATGTACAGAAAATAATGGTGCGGCCTTGTCCATGAATGCTTAAGATGTAATACAAGTATGCATCTTTATCTTCTTCCTTACACCTACAATAACCAAGAACCAGTTAAATGCTTCAGTAAGGATAAACAAGAGGAAGTTTGCACTACTACCAAGCACAAGACACTTAATACTGATTCTAAACCTTAAACCTTAATGACAATCAATACTTTCAATATTTGCTTTACACATTAATCGCAGGTTCAGCTTCTATAAACTTTAACCCTTCTTATTTGTCCCTTTATTCTAATGTGTTGTCTGGACATAAATAGCAGCAAGTGGTTGTTACATGATGATATTTCATGGTATCCAGCTAGACATATCAAATAAAATACTATATAACTTCCCACGAATTTCGAAAACCTAGATACATACATTGAAAGCTTATTAACAACACCCACTACCACGCCCCAGCTCACCCCCAACGCACATCCTCCGAAAAGGGTAAAACCAAAATAACCCACCAAATAAAAAGCAAACTAACAAAAACTGATGGGGTGTGATTCCTTTCCAAAGTTACATTTAAAGCGATAAGCACAAATTCGTTAAGCATGAAAAAGGCAATAACTATAGTAGCCAACAGTTGCAAAACAAAAGACAGAACCAATGCACCATTTTAACAAAATCATACACGGAAATCAAACAAAACAAGCACCACAAATTCTTTCAGGATTTAGGCTAAACACCAGGAATTAGACAAGAAAACGTACTCAATAAATGATTCCTCAAGCTTATGTGCCAGAATTGAAGCATTTGTTAGATCAACAATAGCAGCATTTGGTCTCATTCCTGCTCGCTCTGAGAGCTTCTCTATGGAGTTTAACCCATCGCTTTGCTTGGATTTAATTAAACCTCGCTTTAACTTCTTCCGAAAATCAGCAGACAAGGCAATAGTAGCAGAAAAAACAAATGTTTGCCTTTTCTTTCGCTGGACACTAGAAACTGTTGCACAGTGTTCAGTATTTTGAGATTCACTGTCAACTGACTCACTAGTCACTGGAAGCATTTCAATAATGGACTGCAACTCACGAAAATGACCACTTTCAATCATGCGATCCGCCTCATCCAGCACAAAAAATGACAACGAGTGGAGCTGCAAGCATGAATGAATGAGGAAGAAATTAATTAAGAAAATAAAAATGTCATATTCAGCAGAAGAAAACAGAAGAGTATAATGTCACAAAACAGACGCAATGAAGCACATCTTTTTGTCTTTAGCATGATGGTATTTAAAATACAGCAGAATCAATGTATGGAGCCAGAATATCAAGGGTAAATTAGGGATGATAGGAAATTTGTCGACAAATACAATTAGAAGTAATAGAATTTTTCGTGCACTAATGGCATACAACCTCTAATCAGGAAAATGACCATATACATCAATTGTTTTCCAATCCCTCAGAAATGCCATCAGAATGAACTTTAGGGGTCCTCGCCAATCTCTGATTAGTGCTCCCTTCTTCAGGAAATTGTTTCCCATGTCTATTTAGTTGAAATTAATTTAATATCTGGGTCGGTAATCATTGGTGTCGACAAGACATATACATAGACTTACAGAACTTAAAGGAATAGTTTGTCCCAACAGAGATTTATGATCGAGTGCATAAGTGAGGACGAATACAACCAGACAAGACAAGCCCAACATACAAGGACAAGGATGTAAATGACTCAATTAAAGGTTATGCTCTTTAAAGAATGCAGTAATAATTTCTTAAACCCTTCTCAAGTTATCTATAATTAGCATGCCTTTTAATCAACAAAATGAAGTTACTAGATAACTAACCTCTGTGAGATGGATGGCTCCGCCTGACATGAGCTCCCATAATCTCCCTGGAGTTCCAACAACAATCTCAGGCCTTGATTTAAGAAGTCTTTCCTGCTTTTCAGTTGACATTCCCCCAACAATGGGCACCACCCTAATGTTCATATCTCTTGTCACTTGCTTAAGATGATCAGTGACCTACATGCAAGACATCAAACCAAAAACGAAAGTTTTCAGCATCAATACATAAGTACACGAAATAATACCGTCACTAAAACATGCAAAGAAAGGACAGGCCAGACCTTTAGACTTCAGTTCCTCAAGAATAAAACAAATAAATCAACAGCAACTCTTACAACGGTGCTACTAATATCAAATTAAATAGGTAGTTTTGCCAGCCGCCTACTCATTTTCAATTATAAACAGCTGAATTCCCGACCCGGAAGCTGCTCTTAGCAGGCATATGACAATTTAAGATTGCCCCAGCAATTTAATAGAATTACCTGCATCGCAAGCTCCCTAGTAGGTGTAATGATTAGAGCCCGCAAAAAACCTTTGGCAGAAATCCTTTCATCTGCTTCATCATGCAGTTCAATCTGCTTCTCTACCTTATCTCGCTCTTCAAGAAGGCGCTGTATAATGGGCAAACCAAATGCAAGAGTTTTTCCAGATCCAGTCTCAGCAGCACCAACAACATCCTGTCATACGAATTTAAACTATGAATTTCATAGAAACATCATCAATGCAAAATTACAAATCTAAAATTCCATGGTTCAACCTTTCCTTGATGAGCAGCGGCAGGAATACAAGCTTTCTGAATTGGTGTTGGTTCTTTAAATTTAAGACGGTAAATTGATTTCATGACTACTGGATGAAGTCTCAGTTCATTCCATGCACAGAAGTCAGTCTCATCAACTGCTTCCACTTCAACATCCTCCTTGTCATCTGTAAATGAAAAACAATGCTTATGGAGACAAGATTCTTCAAGCTCAGAAAAACAATTATCTGAAATTCTGACTAAATATATGCTGGTACAAGCTTAACACGAACATCAATTATACTTCTTTCCACCTATATTATCACATGACACTATGGAAATTGCATCCAAAGTCAGATATACCTTTGATTGATCTTAGTACATGCACAGAGAGAACATTTGATTCCAGGAAACGAAATGCAAAGAAACGATATTAGCAAATGAAGTCCAAATTTCATCCTTGTGGAGAAACTCCTCCATGAAAACAAGTGACAGAGTTGCAAGCTAAACCAACAGCAAAGGTAGGGAAGCAAGGTCACAGGATAACAAAATATAATTGAGCAAATCATCTCCAAATAACAGGCCATGGCTATTACATTATGTGAACAATGTATCTACCTTCTATTCTGAAAAACAGCACATATTTATCAATTCATAAGTAAAGAAAAACCATTTAACTCCTGAATATTAATCATACAACACATTGGAAGGGACATAATGAAGAGAATATGTAGAACATCAAATAAAAAATAAAAAAAAAAGAAAACTTCTAATGTAACACCAACCTGCCACTGGCTCCACATTCTCTGCAGTCTCTTTTTCCAAATTCTCCTTTTTATTCTTCTTATTCTTCTTTTTCTTCGGTTTCTTTTTCTTTTGCTTCACTTCTATGTCTTGATCCAAATCCTCCTGTTCGAGTTCCTCTACTTTTTGACTTTCATCCTCAACAGCAGAACTATATTCACTTGTCTTCCTTTTCTTCGATTTGCTTGTCCCTTCAACTATTTTCTCCTCACTTCCCTTCTCCGGTTTTGGTATTTCGAAGCCATACGCCGACTCATCAATTTCTTCAAGTGACAAAAATCCTAAATACATAATAACAACAATTCAGACCAGCTGACCTAAACACTCCTGCTAATTCTAAGAACTATAAACTACAGGTATAATAAAATGCACTTCTTTCACCCATTGGGTACAACTAACCATCACCGAATTTACGAAACCAATGAACAAATAGGAAGACCCAAGTGCAAAAAAAGAGCTACCCTGTTGTTTTTTCATCATAAAATTCACAAAGCAACGGAAAAGAGAAAAGTACCTCCTTCGAGTTCGTTGGAGCCAATGAAGAACGACAGAGCATCCTCCTTTTCTGGGAGAGACGGGTTCCATGGAAGTGAATCAAAATGATTGAGCTGCTCGGATTCAAATTTGGCTCGCTTCTTAGGTTTCTTCTGCTTCTTGCTATTGCCGTTGCCGGGGGTCGGGGAAGACATTGTTGAGTGTTTTTTCTGTCACAAAGGCGACTGCGCCACCGCCAATGAAAGAAGAAGAAAGGGTTTTAGCGGTTTAGGACTTTAGGCTATGTGCGAATAGAGGTCAAAACTGGAACTTCAAATGATAAATAAAAAAGAACTTAGTTATGCTGGGAACATTTTAACTGCGAAAAAAGAAATTAAAAGTTACTTTAGTAAATATTAGTAGTAACACAGTACAGAGGATTACAACTAGACTTGGTGATTAAAGGCCAAAACATAAAAAACAATTATTGTATAATATTTTTTTCCTCCATGTATAATACTACTAGATTAACTTTTTTTTTTTGGTTAATTTCATTAAAAATAATGCATAGTATTCGTATCTTGATAAATCATCCAGTTAAGTAAAATTAGATTTAGAAAGTAAACATCAAAATATGTTTAGAAAATAGTTTCTGATACTTTAGCTAAATTGTAATTTGTTGTGCCCCTTAGAATTGAGTTTTTCTTTAACTATGATATGGATAGTCGGATAGATTCATTCAAAAATGAAATTTTTAACTAAATTATGTGTTCTTTGGTATTTTAGAAATATAAATATTAAATTATCACATTTTACAATCAATATACACAATTGGTGGTTTTTTCAGAAGGCACAAAATATTACTAATCCGGTTTTGTTTTCACATATAATTTTATAGTTTTGTTTGGCGTAACAATTTATGTAAAGAAGAAAAACTGTTATTTTCTTAAATTTAAATAAACAAATAATATACATAATAATCGATTATTTGTTGGAACTGACCGAAACTCAAATGTTCTCAAAAGCAAAATTTGTTCTTATTTACACAAACCATCAACTTCAGATGTTATCCAACTATTGATAAACTTCTAAGTTGTAAAGTAAATATATTGTTTCATAGCCAAAATGTGTGACATAATAATTGTTTATAGAAAAGAAAAATACAGTGAAAAGTCCGCTATAACCTTCACAATGAGTAAAATAATTAAAAAACTAACCCACAATTATCCCCAAAATAAACCTCAGCAAACACTAAACCAACAATCTCCCTAATCTTCACTTTTATCATCACTTTCACTTAAAAGTTGAGCTCCAAGCTTAAAAACTTTACAGAACCCGACAAATGCCCATCTTCTTCCCCGCCGTATCCAGACCCATCTTCTTCCTCTGCTCCATACGTTCACCGTCTCCAAGATTCTTCTCCTCAATGTCGAATTCCGTCAATCCATCCAAACCCCGTTTAAGGGGCGTTGTGTTTGATATGGATGGGACATTAACAGTTCCGGTGATTGATTTTCCGGCAATGTACAGAGCGGTGTTAGGGGAAGATGAATATGTTTCGATTAGGAAGCAGAGTCCATCTGGCATTGATATTCTTCACCATATTGAGAGCTGGAGCCCCGATAGGCAGCGGAAAGCTTATCAGATCATTGCCGATTATGAGAAACAAGGCTTGGATCGCCTCCAAATTATGCCCGGTTAGCTCAGTTCCTTCTTTTTTTGCAATTTTCAATTAGTTTTGGACTGTCCCTCTTGCTTTGTTTTTATTGGGTTTATTGATACGGTATGTCGGTTGGATCAAACAGTTAATTTGTGTTTTAGTTCAATTGCGTTTTAGGGGCGTCGGAGCTTTGTGGGTTCCTTGATGCAAGGAGCATAAGGTGAAGTTCTTATTGATCTCAGTTTTGTTCTTCATTCTTGTTCTGATGGTATTCTTGATTGTGAAATTTGTTCTGTTGGCAATTGGCTCCTTTTTAGAAATGATGATAAGATGCATATAAAGTTGTCAGTTTATGAGGTTGGCCTTGGATGCGAATGATGTTCCTTATCTTTGTGTCTAGTGTGACCATTGCATTAGTTGCGCTTTGTCGAAAAAGTTTCTGTCTTGTCGAAATACGGGTATAATTCAGGAATGATTTCAGTCTCTGGCTAGAGTTCCACATTCTGAAGAATTTGATCAACCTTGCAGTAGAGTTTAGCATTTCTTTGAATTGGCTAATTTACTATTCATTAGAATTCCCGTAATGAGGATTAAATGAGATGTCAGCTGATTGGCTTACACAGATGGATGATTTGATTGTGTCATTATGTCTCTGGTGCATCAACAGGATGAGCTTTAACTCTTTTGGTTTGCCTGAATTGAATGACATTACCGTCAGTTATAAGTTTGATTGTTCATTTTTTCGGTCAAAAGTACTATGCTCTTTACATAATTATTGGTCTTTGACTTGTTCAGTGAAATTCTCTGACCTCATGTTTAGGAGGGGATTAATCACAAGAAACGTAAAGGATGCAGTCGACTTGTTCCACCTACGGTTTGGAGTAAGCATTTTTGAGACTGTGGAGACTTGCGCTTTGTTATGCAGTATTAATTATTTCCCAGAAAGTTGTTCTTACTCCTGTTGCTTGACTGCTAAAGCATAGCCTTCCTTGCATTTTGGTCAACTTTTTCATCTGTTGATCAAGCAGTCCACTCTATTTCTAGTTGCTTTTGATTTCGTTTCTCCTCAATCTACCACAATTATACAGTTCCCATGATATGATAATGGCATTATTTATAGATGTAGCATTAACTTCAATGTATTCTCATTATCCTTGTGACAGATAACATTTGCTCCAGCATTGAGTCGGGAGTTTCGTCCTTACAAACCAGATCCAGCACCGCTGCTTCATATTTGTTCAACATGGAACATTCAACCTAACGAAGTAATGATGATAGGAGATAGCTTGAAAGATGATGTGAGTTTTCTTCTTTTCCAGATGTGTATTCACTTATGTGCCTACTTTTACTTTTGAGTTTTGCGGAATCAACTTTGCAATTGTCATACAATAGACAGTGAAGGGGAAAAAGGTTGTGACTTTGTTTGGCTTGTATGAATTGCTAAATAAGCAGTCCTCCCCCTTCCCTTTTACCTATCCCTTTCGACCTCGATATGACTTTAGTAGCATAGCCTATCCTGTCTTGAATTATAACCAGGATTTTTTTTCTCTGATGTTTCAAGTTCCATATTATTTCAGTCAGCATGTTATCACCCATAATATCACTTGTCTGACTGGGCTGATGACTTGTTTATTTTCCTTTTGAAGTTTCATGTATTCTTTCCTCATTTTTTGTTTATCAGAAATCTGAAAAGCTAGGAGAATTAGATTTTTTGGGTGGATTGCTTATTTTCATCTTTAGTTTCTTTCTTTAGTAGTCAATCAATAAGTTTATGAGCAATCCATACGTTTTGCAGGTGGCTTGCGGGAAGAGGGCTGGTGCGTTTACATGCTTGCTTGATCAAACAGGGAGGTACAACTCTCCAGAATATAAACACGTGGAATTTCAACCTGATTACAAGATTACTTCTCTAGACGAAGTTGTTAAACTATTGGAAGACGACTTCGACCTGGCACCTTAAGTCAAAGTCCTTGCTGATTCTGAATTTAGTAATGAAGATACCGTTGACCAGCGAAGTTGAAACTGGCAGTTAGGCAGTGGAAGCTGCCTTCTGAAATGAGGATGCAGATGCCATGTGCTTAGTTCTTGATATAAATCATCTTTGTCTCTTTCTTTGATCAAAGAAATTGATCCAGTTTGTGGTTAGCTTCATAGCACATACAGTGGCTGAAGGATATGTAACTTAGGATTCCACTGGTAGCAATTCTCAGTTCCATGAAGAAATTTCACATTCACATTTTAATAAGCCAATCTGTACCCATATTATTCTGGAAGCATTAAACATATGCAACCATAAGTAGCAAGTGAATGGATCAGTTAGATTCTATTTTGCATTGCTGGAAAGTAGTCAATAGTATGATGAAATCATTCCACATAGGAATTTACTTAGTTCTTACTCTCTCTCCGGTCTTTATTATCTGGTAGGGTTAGTGATGTAATTCTGTAGTTACAGTATATAATTACTCTTTTACGGCTTTGTAATTTATATATACACATCATGTATAAACCCTAATATATATATGTATGATCGGTCTTACGGCTTATGTTCATGCCGGCCGACTTTTCCAATTCATTGATCTTCTTTGGCATTATCAAAGTTGCTCTATCTCAGAAACGAATAGACACAAGTCAATCCACTTTATTCATTTTTATTCTTTTTGTAATAGCAACGTCAAATTAAAAGTTGTTTTCTTCCTTTATTTAATCACTAAATTTACCAAAGATAATAAGTGAGCCTCGCATGACAAACCACAACATCTTATTTTTGAATTTTATATGAATAATTCTTTTCTTAGATTTATTCTAAAAGTTTATTTTTCTCCCGCAAAAATTCAACGACTACCATGTAAATCGTTCTGTAGATGGCTAAATTACCTTTATGGTAGCTTCAATTGTTAACGTGCCAAAATCACAATACTTACAATCTCCACATGTTATCCGTAGTACAATTGCAAGATTTATCTTGTGTGTGTGTGTGTGTTTTTTTAAAGCAGTAAGCGGGTCATATGGAGTTGCCTCTCCATGTAATTAAATCGGATTGTGCCAGAAATTGAGATCTTATTGGATGTGGTAACTCCAAGTCGTTATAGAGAAAATTGAAGAACTAAACGAATCATTTGAAAAACCTGACAGGGAACAGATGGGAAGTTACCGCATCACACCATGTTAAATGAATGAAAGAAAAAAATGATCTCATGTTCTATTGTCCCACATGGATGAATGAGACTCTTGAACTCAACATATATACCCCATGTGTTACTCCTCTCATAACCAATTGGTTTTGAGGTGGAACCACATGTGGGCTTATATGGGCCTTCAAGATAGTATTAGAGCGGGTTTTAATCCGCGTCCCTGTGGGACTTGTGGGGCGAGGTGGACTGACCAAGATTGGGTCTTGAAACTTTGGTCAACCCACGGAAGAAATTCAGGGTTTGACTTTGAACTTTAACTGGCCCGGCAGGCGACGGTTTATCTGGAAAAATAACCGATCGCAAGACTGAAAAATAAAAATTTAAAAAAAACATAAAAATTACCCGTTCAAGCCTATTGGGCTTGAGAGGGACGTGTTAAATAAATGAAAGAAAGAAATGACTTCATGTTCCATTGTCCCACATGGATGAATGAAGACTCTTGAACTCAACATATATACCCTATGTGCTACCCCCCTCATAGCCAATTGGTTTTGAGGTGGAACCACATAAGGGCTTATATGGGCCTTCAAGACACCAGTGTACAAGTTGGTACTAATATTCAATATATCATCTGCCATGATAAAATGTTCAGCCAGCAAACAGCCATCTTGATGCTATTGTTGAAAAAAAGAATGTGTGATAGTTATGTTAGGTAAAAATAATATTTCCTATATCCTCCAAAAATAGTATATATTGAAATTTGAGATTTGTACTGAAATACAATATAAATTTCAAAATTAAACTATTTTTTGAAACGAAGAGTACACAATTGACTTCATTTGCAAACCTTGGAAAAGTATTAAAAGGTAATCAAAAAAGTCAGTTGGCGTAAGTTACTTTTTATTAAGCACAACCTTTAAGTAAATGGAAATTGAATTCAATATCAGCATGTACACATCGATCGAGTTGACTTAATTTACTGAACATTTCAAATATACGGACTTATTAATAGTTGTTCAATAAATTTTGTCTGTTTCCCAACAAATTCCCAGCTAACCAACAACAAACCTCCATTAACGTTACATTATATTGCCTCTCTATATATTCTATTGCATATACATTATATTCACCCAGCACCCATGCTCAAGCCTTTCGAACTCTGTAGATCCTCAAATACACTTTCTTTCATTCATCGATAGTAACCCAGAAAAGAATGTCAATAGTGTAAGAATTCGGTTCGAGAGGCATCTATGTATATATATATATATATATATATATATATATATATATATATATATATTAAAGGAAGGAAGGGACTGAAGATTCAGTTAGCTACAACTCCAATACATTATATTTTTAGTTATCAATATTATTTTGCCCAAAATATGTATGGATCGAGCCTGAATGGAGGCTGGATGATGTCTATTGCTTAAGCTCTCCAGAGTTCCTTACTACATCGTAAGTAGAGGGACCTATCCTTATTGTGTCCCCATGGTGCATCATTAAGACAGACCACTGGTGATGAGGTTGGCTCTTCTCCATCGCTTCATTTTGCTTTGCGGATCAGAGTGTGCTTCGGGACGAAGATTTAATTAATTGCTTGCAATGAAACTGCCGGTTGCATCTAGTTGTATGATTATGGAGTTTGACGTTTTCTATTTCGAGCATATGGTGTCCTCTGACAGTTGGTGTTAACATTTTCCCGAATATGTTGTATGAAGGATTATGAAGCTATTTTATTTTCGAAAAGAAAAAAAAAAGCGAATGAGATGTTGGTTCAGTGTTAATACCGCCCTTACTATTAAGAGGAGGTTTACCTCCCACCATGGTTTGCAGGCTATTACAGTGAGCGTGGGTTTACCCATCTCTGGTGGAGTTCACGGCGTTACCTAAAAAAAAAAAGAGAGAGAGAGAGTGATGCAGATGCATTGTAAGCTACGACTTAATTCTATAAAATTGTATTTTCTTTTGTACTATTATTATTATAGATACATAGCATATTCAATTGTTGAATTTAGTATTATTGACTAAAACTAAAGCATATAAAAATCAACTAGAAGGTTAACGTTTATGCGGATGTGGAGTTCTTCGACGAAAATTGAATACAAAATGGTAAAAAAAAATTTAAGAGCTAGGACAGATATACAAACACAAACATAAATGAACATGTAATTTGATCCATATACTCTATCCGACTCCAAATTGTATTATAAGCTAGTTTCCCTAGGTGTCAGTAAATTCTTCCTCCTCCCTCAGATTTAGAAAAAAAAAAAAACTCACAACCTAGAGTTCTTCTACCGCCGCCGATCGTCGCCTTGTTCCTGGTCGGCCTTTATTCATTCTCTTCATCCCCATTTGTCCATTCATTATTCCCATTAAAGTTATCCCATCATCTTCAATTGCCTGTGGCCACATCAATTCTTACTGCCTAAGATTCCGCCCCACTCTTGTCTTATATCTGGTCAGTTCTATTTTTTTTGGGTGATGTGGATCTTAGGTTTGAGGCCTCCCTAAAATCCTAGTCACTCTTCCAAACTTTAGGTAACCTTTGTTGTTAGGGTTTTACTTGGTTTTGGCAATTCTAATTACGAGAGTTTTGCTCTTTAAAAAAAGTCGCCTTTAATCTCTTTCCTATTTAGATTAAGGTTATATTTGTGATTAGGCTCCGACCAGGATTAGGATTTTTAGATTAAGGTTATATTTGTGATTAGGCTCCGACCAGGATTAGGATTTTTAGATTAAGGTTATATTTGTGATTAGGCTCCGACCAGGATTAGGATTTTGTGGCAGACTCTTTTCCCTATTTAAAGGGTCGTGGACCATGATTTTTTTAGGTAGAGATTTTGATAAGAATTTTCATTGAGGTTTTAAGAACGAGTAAATTTGTTTTCTGCCTTAATCCACCTCCAGGGAATTCCAATTCTTTTGCTATCAACTCAACCATGACGACATTGTTAACTCAAGCTACTGCTGCCTTGACATCTTCAACCCAGCTGGTGGTTTCGACGATGGCTGCAATTACGGGACATTTGATCAGCCAAGGATCGGCAAATACGACACACGCGCCGGCAGGAGTAAATATGAAAGTAGCTGGTCATCGCTTCCCGAGTTTGCGGATGTGCTGTTCGTCACGAGCTTGCTCGTTTGTTCAGGCAATACCCTTAAAGAGTCCAAGAAGATCACTTTCATCCATGGATTTGTGCCTGGCTGCTTTCGATGCAAACTGTAGTACAGTGCAAACTCTGCCTCGTACTGATAGATCCAAGACCATGACCAATGTTGTTGTTCCGGTTGGAGATGTAATAAAGACTCCTAAACTTGATGTGAGTGGCCCTGCACCTCCTCCGAATGGCGATGGAGGTGGAGGTGGAGGAGACTTCTCAGGTGGATGGTTCCTTTTTGGGACTCTTTTGTTACTGTCTTTTCTGAAGGAGAAAGAGATGAAGGGAGAAGAAGAACAAGAAACTAGGTCCTATTATAATTGAGTTCCTACAATACATTTCTGAAAGTTTATTTATTGGGAGATATTTTCCTTTTCATAGTGTAGAATGCACTTTCGGTTTAATTAAGAAGTGTCAATAGAAAAACGCACTGTTGCAACCTTCCCCTAGAAAAGACATGGTATTTATATGCTAGTTTCTATTTTTTTTTTTCGGTTGCAGAAGTTTTTTGTTTTATTATTTTTTTATTTTAATTAAAAAACAATTTCAAGAAAAAATAAGACAGCGAATATACTAACCATATATCAAGTACAATTTAATAATAAAGAAAATTTGCATCCTTATTTAATCGACGAACTCTAACTTTTGCTTTACCCTTAGCTTTTTTTCGATCGATTATGATATGTTGGAGCAGAAACTCCATTGTAAAAGGACTCACGTTCCATTTCTTGTTCCGTGTCAAATTCTTATCTTCGAAATCCTTATAGATATGATTTTGTTCACTCTCAGAATGGAGCCTATATGCTTATAGATATGATTTTCTGAAGAGCCTATATCCTATCTCCGTATCATCTTTGGATAAGTGCTGAGTATGATTTTTACCGGCGGTTGGACTTGAAATTGGGAGTAAACTTCAAGGAGAGGGACTTGTGATATTTGGGAATAGGCAAATTCCGCAGCTGCGGGATTCAACTTCTTTTGGAGCTATTATTGGTGCTATTTTCAGAAAGTGGAGAGTTGGACTTTGACTTCAATTCCTCATTTGAACCCGGGTCTGGCTGGGAGAGAGAAACGAGGGCCAATGATTGCGCGTTTGGTGCGGAAGGCAAGCTGGAGGATGATTGCCGTATCTCTTTTGAATTTAGAAAAACAGAATCAGAGGGAATTATGGGAGTGGATTGCGTCTGTTCCAGATTCAAATATCAAAATTCAAGAGGAGATTGACTTGGTTGCGCTGATTGCGGGCGTGAAGGCGACGGAGTTTCCACCATTGCCTTACGCCGGTTATCCATATTTTCCGGTGATGGAGCTTCTTCTACGCTACTGGTGGCGGCGATCAATCTTTCCATAGCAGCGGCAGCTTCAGCAACTAAGGTTTCAGTCGCAGCATGGGTCTGGGTCGCGACAAGGGCTTGGCTTGCAGCGATGATGGTCTGATGCTCTACCAGCGAAGAGAGTGCGACATGTTCAGTTGCTTGCAACTCCGGAGACGGATCGATAATTGGCAGATCAACTTCAGCAGCAGCCATAGCAGCGAAGTCCATTCGATGAGCAGCAATCACGCCGGCAGTGACGGTTTGATGATTGTCCAGAATCAGGGTAACCTGACGTTGGACTTCCAAATTTGCCGGCGATACAATTTGTCCTCCATGAGAGATTTCGGCTTGTGCAGCAATTAAAAGCGTAGAATGCGCTGAATCCACATTCTTTGAGCAGCGGTAGTGATGGCTTGTCGTTCGACAACCGCATCCACAATTATGGTATCCTGCAGCGACTTAACAGCAGCAGGCCGGTCCATTGATTGCACCGCCAAGGATTTTGGATCATGGTTTTGCCTGTCCCTGATCTAAGCATTTGTGCCCTTTCCTTGTGAGTTTTGTTTTAAGTTTGGTTTCGAATGATTCGATGCCAACCTTTGTGATGATGATGGAATTGTATGATGACAGGAGTGAACATCATGACCAATCTTCTTACATTCGGCACAGTATTGAGGGATGTTTTCATAGAAGATCGATTGAAAGTAAGTCGACTCGTCAACTCCCAGTCTGATTCGAATAAGATGCTCCTTAAGAAGATCCAATTCTGCACAAACTCGTGCTACCGATGGCCGCGACATGTTGTGAGTTGGAACGTCAATTTGAAGAGTAGTACCAATGATACTTGCAAGTTTCCACAAGTATTCCTTATTGAAACGATGAATTGGGAGACCTACTAGGGAGATCCAAACAGGGACAATAGAGCTTTTGTGCGCTGGATTAAAATCCGTGGTCCACTTAAGGTCTCGCATTCGATGCTTGTCAAAAGTCCATAAACTTTTGAGCCAGCAGCGATGAATGTCTTCCTCTAAATCAAAGCAAATGAGGATATGTCGGTAATTAATCGATCCAAGGGAAAGCTTCCCTTGAAGCCGATAGTTTGGAATTCTCTTCGCAAAAAGTCCATTTTTGGCCGATAGTTTGGATCCTCTTCTTTTGTAAGAAGAAAAGTTGGCTCGTCTTTGAAAGTCGTTGGTTCAGAATGTATCATAGTCGGGTTTAGATGTATATTTATTGCTGAATTTTCATGTATGGTTTTTGGATTTGCCCCAAATCCTCGAATCTGAGCAAAGGAAGGCTTTTGAGGGTGTTTAGTTGGTGATATAGGGCCTATGGTCGCCGGCCATAGGAGGAATAGAAGAGAGAGTTTAGAGAGAGATATTGTAGAGAGAGTCCAAACCATGGAGAATTCTCATAATTCTCATATATGCTAGTTTCTATGTTCCATTTATACACAAAAAATACGTGATACTGCGTTCGCCTTATAAAAATATAATTCTAAAGTACTACTACCAAGTTAGAGTTCTTATATAAGGGTAAGTAATTATTAAAATGCGGTTGGTGAAACGGGTTTAACACAAGTGAAGCTTTTGGACAAAACACTAGTTATAATTGGTCGAAGTTGGATCTATGTTAAAATGATGGTGTAACAATATCTATACATTGTACTATAAATAATTCAGTAAATCATACTATCATTTTGGGATGAATATAATACATAACCCTATGTATAAATTCAGGTGGTCTATTGGGATCGCTCCTATTCTCTGACATACAGAAAACTGTAAATCCAATAATTATAAACTAAATACAACGACAAACATGGAGTTACTTGATCGTTTTTAGACTTCTTAGTTCTTTTGCATTATGACGATGTAATACAGATATAGTCCCTGGTATGGAACAAATTAAAACTTTACTTTTTCTGTTTTGTTCATCCTATTCATTTTATTTGGGCCTTAGTTTAAGAGTATGCTGAAACTAAACTAGACAGAAGAAAGTGTTGAAGAGTAAAAGTCATCCTCTGTCTGAAATGAATAAAAAATTAATAAGAACACTGAGTTCGGACGTCAATTGCCTACATGTTTGGAGTATAATGAAACAAGTAGAGGAAAAGAAACAACCACCAACCTACCCACATTGAAGCTTCTTGAAAGAAACATATGCAAAGTTAATTACTAAAGTAGTACGTACGTATAGTACTATAGGAGTTAATAATGTTCAATAAATTTTTTCTGATTCCCAATAAATTAAATCTTCAGCCAATAGACAACTAACCATATCAACACCTATGTTATATACGGTGAATGAATAATATAGTCCAGCAAAGAGAAACAACTAAGGGGTATTTATTTATTTAGTTCACTTTTTTATTACTCGTCAACGTGCGACAAATAAATTTTACTTGATAAAGCTAGGAAATGTTGAAAACCACTGTCCAAACTAAGCCGAAATTAAACACATCAAATGTAATCAAATTTCGTAACTCATGAAAATATTGAAGTAAGTGAAATAAATAAATAATTGATTCTGTACATAACTACGAATTATACATACTATATATATATATATATATCTATATATATGTAGACTCTCCTCTACAACCCTAGCACATTTTCTCAGCCCAAACCCCTCATTATCACCTTTCCATATTCCTTGTTTCTGAATGTGCTGACGGTGAAACCATCTCCTTCATCCCCACTTTAACCTTTTCCTTCTATATCTATTTGGCTAAATCCTTGATTAAATTCTCTCAGCAGGTGCTTGAAGCCACCACGGTGTAACGTCATCCTGCTGAAACATGAAAATGTACTTTTCAACAACTCAAAAGATGTTATGGAATCGATCTTGACTTGCTGTACATCTATGGAAATTAAGCTCTCTCGAGTTTCTTGCTATGTCAAAAGAAAGAAGTGGAAGAAGGGAGGCGAAGATGTGAAGAAAGGCAGGGCTATACGCATAATTGGGGGAAGGGCCTGGCTTGGTCTGCAATTTCGCATTCAGAAGGCTAATAACCAATATTACTTGCATGTTGTCAAACAAAAGAGAACAAATCCTGAACGACATGATAGGGCTTTTCACATTTTTTTTTTTTTTTGTATCGATACACTCTCCAATCCTAAACGACATAGACAGAGTTCTATCTACACGGCTCTTTGGTGATACTCATGTATTGAATTTTCGTGAAACAAAATTTTGTATTGGATGCATAATTTTTCTTTGTTTGAAAATTGATTGTTTTTTGGATACTTTCTCAATCATCAGTAATGACAATATTATGAAATATTCTACGGATGCTATAGTTGAAAACTAAGAAACAACTGAATTGTAAACAATAACCTAATTTTGAAAAATTGAATATAAAGCTTCTGTTTTTGTTATTCACTTTGATAATGTATACAGTACAAGGAGGTCTGATTTTATACTCCTCAATACATACTTGATAATTCATGAATAGCATTAAATAAAAATAGAAGCTATCAACTAGGGTTTGAGTTGTTATTGGACTCTTTATCCTCAACCACATCTCTTTCGATAATAGGAAAAGTATAACCGTCCTTATCACTCTGAACTTCCTTATCTCGCCGCATACTCTGACAGATTAGCTCAGTGTGAGTTGGCTGTGATTTATCTTTAACATTCCCCCTCAAACTATGTCGGGACAAGAGGCACAGTTTGTGTAGAAAGAATGGGAGAACCGCTTTGTGGACTGGTTTGGTGAAGATATCAACTATCTGTCGATCAGAAGAGACATGTTTGGTGACAAGGAGCCCAAGAGCAACTCGTTCCCGTACAAAGTGGTAGTCCAGCTCGACATGTTTCCTTCGAGCATGAAAGGCCGGATTAACAGTGAGAAATATGGCACTGAGGTTATCATAATAGAGAACTGGAGGAGGTGAACATGAAATCCAAAGATCTTGAAGGAGATAAGTAAGCCAGGTGAGCTCAGCAGCGGTGTTGGCCATAGCTCGATATCCAGCTTCAGTGCTTGATCGGGAGACAGTGTGTTGCTTTTTGCACACCAAGAAATGAGGTTGTTTCAAAGGAATGTGCAATAACCATTTGTGGAACGCCGAGTTCGAGGACATCCAGCCCAATCCGCATATGAGAAAGCAGTTAAAGACAGAGATGTATTAACACGAAAGTGAAGACCAAGATTAATAGTACCTTTGACATAGCGGAGGATACAATGAACAAGCTTCATGTGAGCCACTATAGGGGTTTGCATAAATTGGGAAACATGGTTAACACTGTATGATAGGTTTGATCGTGTTAAAGTGAAATACTATAACGCCCCAGCAATACTTCGGAACTATTTAGGATCACCAAGAGAAATAGAGACAGGGACAACAAATTTGGTCTCCAAAGGTGTCGGCATTGGTTTGCAATCAAGCATAGCAAAACGGTCAAGGATGTTAACATCATAATGTGTCTGAGAAAGTAATAAACCATTAGGGACAGAGTTAACTTCAATGCCAAGAAAATGATGTAAAGACCCTAAATCTTTCATAGAAAATTCGTGACATAGCAATGTAACAAATGAAGTAAGAAGTGGAGTAGATGAACCTGTAAGTAACATATCATCCACATATATCAATAGAAGTAAAATGCCATGGTGAGAATGAAACACAAAGAGAGAGGGATCTGCTAAGCTACATGAAAACCATAATTAATCAAAAACTGACTAAGACGATCAAACCAGGAATGTGGTGCTTGTTTTAAGCCATAAAGAGCCCATTGAAGTTTACACACATGAGAAGGATAACAAGGATCAGCCATACCTGGTGGTTGTTCCATGTATAATTTTCTAGTAACATAACCATGAAGAAAGGCATGTTTGACGTCTAATTGCCGAATGGGCCAATGATAAACTAGGGCTACAGAAAGTATTAATCGAATGGTACCTGGTTTCATGACAGGAGAGAAAGTTTCTATATAATCTAACCTATAAATCTAATGATAGCCTTTAGCCAATAGACGAGCCTCTAAACGATCCAACGTACCATCAGGATTGATCTTAGTCTTGAAAACCCATTTAGAGCTGATGACATGCATTTTGGCCTCTCGCGGAACTAACGTCCAAGTGTGATTGTTGTGAAGTGCATCAAGTTCTTCTTTCATCGCCAATGTCCAACCAGGGTGAAAAAGAGCCTGCTTGACAGTTCGTGGCTCACAGGGAATTGTATCCGACAGTGAGACCAAAAGAGCATACTTCGGGTTGGGTTTCACAGCCCCAAGTTGAGACCTGGTGATCATGGAATGAGTTGGCTGAACAGGAGAGAAAACTGGTGATGATGTGTTTGTGGTCGAAGAAGAAGATGAGGCAGCGCCATCGGAGGAAAAAGCTGGAGGACTATCAACCGAATGATCAAACAAGGGTATATGAGACAAGGTTGGAGATGGGGGCGAAGACATCGGTGAGGTCGATGGAGAGGGATTAGAAGACAACGGACCTGGTGGAAGAGGAATGGAACTGGGAAAGAATCAGAATCACCACATGTATTAGATGCAATAGTAGAGTTAGATTGTGATAACCAGGAATCAAAAGCATTGGAAACATGGGACGAAGAAAAAGACGGGTAAACATTTTTAAAAGGAAAACATGTTTCATCAAAAACAACATGCCGGAGAGACTATAATTTCTTTATGAATTGGACCATAGCATTTATAACCTTTGTATTGATCACTATAGCCAACAAAGATACATAAGGTAGATTTTAGATCAAATTTATTCACTTTAGTGTCCCAAGTAAATGGAAAACATTTTGAACCAAATTCTCGTAAAGAGGAATAGTCAGGA